TATGAACGTAACGTTGTTTAAAGTCAAAGTTTAAACCCTTATACCTACATAACCCGTTTGACACAATGTTCTTAACATACCTTGTGGAAAAATAAAACATTTTAGAAAAAATTGCACTTTTTTACCTTCAGCTGTTTAGAAGTTATAAGCAGGTTAATTAGGTGAAAATATAAGTGTATACTCGAGGAATAACTTCAAAAAATATTTTAACTCTCTACTAAAAGAAGTGATACGCCTATGGATTACGAACGCTTTATTATTTTAATACTCTCTCATACATAAAAATAGACTATAATAAGTATTGTTTGTAAATAAGAAGGTTACTTTTTCATAAATCCATGTTGTTCGATATTAATAATAAGTAGTCATATAAGATAAATTCAAACAATTTTGCAATAATGCACAATTTAAAGATAGGAGGGTAATTTTCCGCTAGGTATTTGTTACCAGATTTTAGAATAGGAACAATTGATGCTGTGTTTTAAATATTTGGAAAGTGACCGTCTTGTAACGATTTATTGAATAGGATAAATAGACGCTGCGCTATTTCTTGAGAGCAATTCTTTGACATGTGGGGATTTTATCAAAGCCCGGAGCTTTGTTAGGAAGTTGCTTAATTTTGTTAATGATCGTGGATATTGGAATATGATAATTAGGTATATATTTTTTGTGTGAGTTATTAGAAGGTTCTTAAGTTTAGTTTAAGATGGCGGGTTGGATACATGGTTAAAATAGGTAGAGAATGTATCACAAATAATTTGACCATCTGTGATCATTTTATTATTACGTTTTAATACCGAATTAACAGATTTTGTACCCTTTTTTGATCTGTCAAACTGTCATATTTGTTTAGGATCCGTTGAAATAGAAGTCTCAATATGATTCACATAACTATAATAATCTAGATCAGTGGTCGCCAACCTGTCGATCGCGAGCTACCGGTAGCTCGCGGAGGCAATTCTGGTAGCTCTCACAACGATTTTAATTTAAAAAATACAAACTGCAAAAATCAGAGAAGCTTTCGAAAATTCCACAAAAAATCTAATTGTCATAATATTAAACATAAACAGCGGCAATGTTGCGGTGAGCGATCTGTCGCTGACGCCATCAAGCTAGAATCGGCTAGAACCGACCAGCCGGACCAGCGCGTTAGTGTTCGAGAACGATCAGGATTGCTTTGAACAGGATAAATACGCACAGCGCGAAGACATTGCGCTTAGTTTAAAACTGAACGCGTAACCAACGTCCAGCAGTTAGGTTAGTAGAGAACAACAAAAAATAATATTATGGCAAGCAGTTGTAAGAAGATGAAGACATACCACTTTCATTCGGAATGGGAAGAACAATACTTTTTTACAGAAGTTAAAGATAAAAATGTGTGTTTGTTATGTAATACTTCGGTCTCCGTTGCTAAAAAAGGAAATATTGAGAGACATCATAAAACTGTACATTCTAATTTTGAAAAATCATTCCCACTACATTCTGCCGCCAGAAAGGAGAAACTGAAACAGTTAAAAAAGCAGTTAATTGGACAACAATCAATATTTTTAAGAACAGTCGACAAAAATAAGGCTGCAACTGAAGCATCGTACCGTGTGTTCCAGATAATTGCACAAAAAAAAAACCTTATGAAGACGGGGAAATGATAAAACAGGCGTTTTTAGAAGCTGCTGATTCGTTATTTGCCAACTTTAGAAATAAAGACGAGATAGTTTTAGCTATAAAATCTATGCAAATTTCTGCTAATACAATGATGAGACGTGTAGAAGTAATAAGCAATGATATTTTTTTACAGTTAAGAACTGACTTAGATAACTGTGTTTATTTTTCACTTCAATTGGATGAATCAACAGATGTCGTTGACACTGCCTAGATGGCTGTGTTCGTCAGGATGGTTTTTAGTGATTTTACGATTAAAGAAGATCTTTTGAAGTTTATTCCACTGAAAGGACACACTACTGGACAGGAGTTGTTTTCTCATTTAAAAAATATTATTTCTTCCGAGAAAATTCCAATATAGAAAATGGTAGGCTTGACAAACGATGGCGCTCCAGCTATGGTGGGTTGTGATAAAGGTCTGGTGGCGTTATGTCGTAAAGATGAAACTTTTCCGCAATCTCTCTGTTACCATTGCATTATCCATCAGCAAGCATTATGTGGAAATTTCGTGAAACTAAACAACATTATGAAACTGGTGGTAAAAATTGTGAACAAGATTAGAGCTCAAGCGTTACAAAGAAGATTATTCAAAACCTTGGCCGATGAAGTTGACTGTCAATACGGGGACCTACTCCTTCACTCTGAAGTCCGATGGTTAAGTAGAGGACGGGTGCTGAAACGTTTTAATGATGTCCTATCTGGCATAGTTCCATTTTTCAAACAACGCGATGAACCGACTCCGGAACTAGAAAATTCAATCTGGCTTAGAGATTTTGGTTTTCTCGTGTACATTACAGAGAAATTAAACGAACTTAATTTGCAGCTTCAGAGGAGAGACAAAGAACTAGCGGAAATGATTTCTGATATAAAAGCATTTATCAAAAAGCTGGAGTTTTGGGAACAAAACCTAATTAACAGCGATGCCAAGCATTTTCCTATTCTTTCAGAAAGAATATCTCAAAATCCATTAGAACCATATGACAGCAAATATCATGTAGAAATAGTTTTTACCCTGAAGAATAACTTCAAAAATCGTTTTAAGGATTTCAACGAAATGGCTTTAGTAGCACAGTTTGTTGTTTCACCCTTTATGGAAATTGATATCCAACAGTTTGCAACTTGTGTTATGCAGAACTTTGGCGAAGACATCGCTGTAACAGAAATGGAAGTAATTGAGTTTCAAAATGATTTAGCCTTAAAATCGTTAGTCTCAAGTACCAAATGTATCTGGCCTATTGTAAGTAAAGACAAATATTCAGTTCTATGCCGTGTTGCCTTGAAAGTGAAAGCATTATTCAGTTCAACCTATTTGTGTGAATCTTCTTTTTCCAATATGAAGTTTATTAAGAACAAATATCGCAATCGACTCACAGATGAACATTTGGATAATTGTATTCGAATGGCTGTATCAAATTATACTGCAAACAATAAAAAAATTATCGATGAGTCTGAGTGTCAGCCTTCTCATTGAACGTGCTTTTTTATTTTTCAATGTTTATGTTCATGATAGTGCATTACTTTTTTGTTGTTATTATTAAGTATTTTTAAATCTTACGTGACATGCCGTTGTGGCTGGATAAAAGTTTGTGTTTATTTTTCAAACACCTTCGTTTGGTAGGTAGGAATGTAGCTATGAACAAGTACGTACTAGTAGTATTAGTTATTTTGTTATTAGTTTATTATTAGTACCTATATATTATGTATTACCAGTTAAATAGTAAAATAAATACATATAATGATAAATTAACTGTGGATTATTTCATTTACATTGCGTTACGTGGCTTCCGTGTGGGTAGCTCGCTGTTTATTCCAAAATTAACAAAGTAGCTTAACACATTGAGAGGTTGGCGACCACTGATCTAGATCAATTAAATATTTAGATCTTCCTCTTAGTAGTTTAAATAGTCAATTCCATTTTTATATTTTTTCCACTTAGAATGATATGTTTTCTTTTCATTGATAGTTTTATATATTTTTATCGATTTATCCTTTGTTTATGCCAGCCTGAATATAAAAGTGATTAGTTTGTTTAATTTTTATTTAGATTTCAAATTTAAGTTGCTTTCTCAAAAGTCAAACGCAAAAGTATAAACTTGTCATTTGTAATTTTTACTACATCTAGAGCATTTGTTTATTACATCTACATTTAAATCTAATTCTCTATCAGGTGATAAAAAATTCACATCATCTGGGATGCATTCGATATGGATATTCAAACGCAACATTATATAGAACAAGTAAAATGTTTATTTCTGAAATTAATCACCTATGATCAGAGAACAGTTTATTTATTTTTTAGACGACCTACTTTTAGCGAACTCTTTACTTACGATTACTGATTTTAGTTGCAGTGGGTATCAACTGTGTAATTTACTAAAAATGGTAAAGTTTTTACTGTTGTAGGTTTATTGATTCATTTATAGCTATTAAAGTGGGTTTCTACAATACAAAATAGGTTTTCATAAAATCAATTTAAATGTTTGTTCCTAGAAACTTTTGACTGTATATTTGCGATCTTAAATTATTTATCAGCTTTAAATACATTCGAAAATTGACGAAAATTTTACAGTCTTGTACATTTTGTAAAAACACGGCACGCCACCACTGTTTTCACTCAGTCGCCATCCATTACATCACCCGCGAAATTGCGTACCCTAATAATTGCCATTCCGCAATGCCGTAGAGCGATCGATCGAAAATTTGATTAGTCGATTGTTTTTTTAAATGTTACAATTAAATTCTTTTGTTTTTTATTTTGTTTATTTTAATGTTTTAATAATAATCAGTTAAAAGAAGAATTTTGATAAATGTTTTTTAAATCTTGTTTGTCCTATGTCAAGTGTGTTCTTTAAATCTGCAAAAGCGGTATAATGTCTGGTTCACCCTATATGAATACTGGGTTTTTTTACAGCATTTTTTTTTGTTATTAAATAAAATTATATGATTAGTTAACCTGTATAACCAAATGAAGGAATGGAAGAAAAAAAAAAGGATATAGGACACGTACGACTTTTATTCTTTACTGTTTATTTTGTCTATAATATTTTCAGAAACCAGGAGACCATGCCAATTTAATATTTTTCTCCATTTTAACTACGTCATCCTCCTCTCACTGCCTTTGCACCCATTCTTTCATTTGGTCCAAAAAAAACGAAAATTTTTACAGCATTACTCAAATTTTTTCATAAAAAAGTTTTTAAGGTATTCCGCAAGGTTGACGCCTTGACCTTGTAGTATTAATTAACGTAATTTTTTAATTTTTTTCAATTAGTTTTAGTAGAAATTTTGTTTCGATGTTTCTGAAATACCTTAAAAAACATTGAATTTCTTAATTGTTACAGGTGAAGCGAGTAATGCGAGTATCGGTAGCGGGGAGGGGACAGGAGAGGAGGACGACGATACGAATGGAAAGAAAAATCAAAAAAAGAGAGGCATATTTCCCAAAGTAGCGACGAATATACTCAGGGCGTGGTTGTTTCAACATTTAACGGTGAGTAATGTTTGTTCTTCTGATACGTCGGTTGCGAAAATTAAAAAAAAAACGAATTTGGTCCGGTATATTTTCCGGAATTGACACCGTGCGACTTCTTCTTGCACATGAAATTAAAAAATAAACAGTTTAATATAATTCCCAATGGTTTTCTTACATAAAATAACGCAAAGTAATTTAAAGATAACGGCATGTTTTCAAACCGTGTCAAAGACTGCTATCAGATCGATAAATACAACAGATGAATTAAGATGTCATTGAAATAAGTTTTAAATAAGTAGAAATAAATTGAAACAAGAATACAGATTTATATTATACTCATCACAGTTTAATAAGCCCCTTTAACCTGCCATTTTTAATCACATTTTTTTTAAGAATCTAATAGAACTTGCTTTTTTCTGAAGATTTCAAGTAATATCGTTTTTTAAAGATAGAATTTTTTAAAGATAGAATTTTTTAAAATTTTATTTCAACCCCTTTAACCCACCATTTTAATACTGTTTTTTTTTTGGAGTAAATGGGCTTAATTCTCTTATAGAGCTTAATTTTTGTTAAAAATGTCATATAGATATCGCTTTTAGTTTTTGATTTGATTTTTTTTAATATTAACCCCCCTTAACACCCCTTAGCCCCCTTAACCCCCTCCCCTTAGCCCCCTTAACCCCCCATTTTTATTTATAGACTTTATCACTTTATAGAGCTTTAACATTTTAAGTAGATATCACTTTTCGTTTTTTTTTTTTCACAATTAATAGGCTTCATTCCCCCTTATACAACTTAATTTGATGTTGATATCGCCTTAATTTTTTTGTTTTAGACCTTTTCTTTTTAAATTTCTACTCCCCTTAACCTCCTATTTTTAATCAGATTTTCTTTTCAAAATAAAGAGGCTTCTGCTATTTATAAAGCTAGTTTTTTTTCTAAAAATTTCAATTTGAAATAATTTTTTGATATTTAGTTAGGATTTTTTTAATATTTCAACCACAAGTAGGCCACCATTTTCAGATTTTTTACAAAATTAGTAGACTTCGTCCTCGAATAGAGCTTGATTTTCCTGAAAATTTCAATTTGAGTTCAATTTTTGTTTTTGACTTATAGTATGACAAAAAACGTAACATCGGACGGAAAGTTGTTTAAAATTCGATGAGAAGGATTTTGATACAAATAATATTAAATTTATATCAATTTTAAAAATTTTGATTTCTCGAAAATAAACTCATGGACTACTGTGGGAAGACTATAAGTTTAAATGAGGTTTAAAAATAAGTGAAATTAGTTAAAATAAGTTGAAATAAGTAAGTTGAAATAAGTTGAAATAAGTTGAAATAAGTTGAAATAAGTTGAAATAAGTTGAAATAAGTTGAAATAAGTTGAAATAAGTTGAAATAAGTTGAAATAAGTTGAAATAAGTTGAAATAAGTTGAAATAAGTTGAAATAAGTTGAAATAAGTTGAAATAAGTTGAAATAAGTTGAAATAAGTTGAAACAAGTTGAAATAAGTTGAAATAAGTTAAAATAAGTTGAAATAAGTTGAAATAAGTTGAAATAAGTTGAAATAAGTTGAAATAAGTTGAAATAAGTTGAAATAAGTTGAAATAAGTTGAAATAAGTTGAAATAAGTTGAAATAAGTTGAAATAAGTTGAAATAAGTTGAAATAAGTTGAAATAAGTTGAAATAAGTTGAAATAAGTTGAAATAAGTTGAAATAAGTTGAAATAAGTTGAAATAAGTTGAAATAAGTTGAAATAAGTTGAAATTAGTTAAAATAAGTTGAAATAAGTAAGTTGAAATAAGTTGAAATAAGTTGAAATAAGTTGAAATAAGTTGAAATAAGTTGAAATAAGTTGAAATAAGTTGAAATAAATTGAAATAAGTTGAAATAAGTTGAAATAAGTTGAAATAAGTTGAAAAAAGTTGAAAAAAGTTCGAAAAAAGTTGAAATAAGTTGAAAAAAGTTCGAAAAAAGTTGAAATAAGTTGAAAAAAGTTTAAAAAAAGTTCGAAAAAAGTTTAAAAAAAGTTGAACAAAGTTAGGGGAATATTTTAAAAATTATTGCTAAATACAAATTAAACGTTCAAAAGTTGCATTTTAAATTTAAAATTTTATCGGAATTGATCAATTGTATTAAAACAAATGGATATGTAATAAAGTAGTTTATATTTATTAAAAACAAATTACCAGAATTGAAATAAAACTGGAGTAAAAGTCAGAATAGTAAAAATAATTGGTTAGAGGTATTTCTGTTTTGATCTGTCTCGAAGTACCATGTTTTGATGTGCTAGATCACTAGGTCGCTAACAATACAATATAACAAAAAATTAGTTGTTTAAAAATAAATGATCTACTTAGTTATTAGAGTGTGATTAGATTTGAAATTTTATTTGTAAAAATATAGTATAAGGCTTCAGGTAAAAGAAATGTAGAGACTTTCATATAGCAATTTTTATTAACCTATGTATATAGAAATCTATAGCAGTTACCAAAAATCAAATAAAACCAAAGACAGTACGGTACGAAAGAGTGTTATTGTTTTTACAATAAAAACTACTTTAATTCAATATATTCATTCCTAGACATAATTACTCATCGTCCAAAGACTGGTAGGCCCCCGTTCAGGCAGTGGGCCCTTGAGAAGAACCTCTTCATCCGTGGCAACCTCGGAAAATGCATCAGTGTGCAAAGAATACATTTTCTTTCTCTACAATGAATCGGGCCATGAAGAAAACATTTATAAGTGCACCTCTCTCCCTTCGGAACCGGTAGGCCCTAGAGGTACGAATCCGATACTGTCTATTCTTAAGATATTTACAATAAATAAATATATATAAAGAGGGTAGTCATAATTATACGTTTCTAATACTTATGACGTAAGTAATAATTAAGGCAGAAGTTCCCGGCCCATAAACATAGTATCAATTCGATTCAACCAGGATTAGTTTTATATTATTGTTTTAAAACACGTTTCTCAAAGAGTATTGATATAAATTGTCATCTATGATTTATATAAAAAGAATCTATCTCAAAAATGGATTGTCAGTAAAATTGAGAATTATTGTATATCTATAAAAAAAAAGAAATACACATTTACGCCCCGAGAATCGTACAAAATCCCTCATCCGTTCGGGGCCTAACAGGACACATGTCGTCGATGAGTTTTCCTGTGTCGAGGATCAAGGCGGGTATTTCCACGACCGGAAATACAACCTCAGATGCAGCAATGCAGGAAATGAAATCGCGTAGCCGGAAAGACTAGTTTTTTAGGTTCCAATCCGACCGTTTATAAATAGCCCTTAAATCCGTGGGGGTACAAATAACTTCGGTTGGCAAGTCACCCTTCTCTCTACTATTTTGATTGACTGCGGTACATTTTCTGGCCCCGAAGACGTATAGAAATGTGGGGTAGAGTGCAAAAAAGAATCAATCGGATGTTGCGGAGATAAAGGAAAAATATGATGTTGTTTCTGTAACGAAGCAGAAATATTTTAGCACCGCAGGAAGACGCATTGACACACAAATAACAATTTTTAGTAACACAATGGCGCTTAAGAAAAGTGTAGGTTTTACAAAAATAATGAAACACAGAAAAATTTGATACAAAGTGTTCTGTTTGGAGGTATTTAACACGGTAGTTTACAAAATTTCGACATAATATAAATATATATGAAATTATAAAATATTGACGCTAAGAAAACTGACAGAAAGATTGTAGAAACCAACAATACAAATATGGAAAGAAAAAAAGAATAACAGAAGAATGGAAAACTGGAATGATTGTACTGATACCAAAGAAAGGAGGCCTATATAAGAAACTGTGATAATTATAGAAGGATAATACTTCTGAAGACAATGTATAAATTAGTAACTTTATTAATACTGAAAAGATTAAAACTGGAGAATACTAAATTGGATTTATATCAGGAAAATCAACAGTAAATAAGCAAATGATAGAAAAATTATATAAAAGAGACCAAAGAAGTAATAAAAACAGTTGTAGAAGAAATAATGCAAGAGTGCGAAATCAAAAGATCTATTATAGAGAAAATGCAGATGATAGAGCGGTAGTAGCAACAATTAGAAAGAGCCAATAGGAGACTCTGAACAACATAAACAAGGCAGCAATAAAGAGGACTAGAAATAAACAAAAATAAGGGTGAAAAGACGATGCAAAAGAACAAAACGAATGATAAGCAATAGAAACGACAAGAATGTAGAAATAAAACAACAAATACAAGTAGATCCCAAAGCATATTATAAATATGAAGAGAAACTGAAAAGATCAAAATAAAAACAGACGAGAAGTGTTTTTTTCTCCGAATAACACTGAAGCCTACTGGCTTATTGTGTTTTACCCCATGTTAGTTCATTGCACCCACTCTGTCACCTTTGTACCTTATACAAGTTTGTACAGATCCTTGGATGAGTGGGTTCTATACGTTGTTAGATCAACCTGGGGTTGTCCAAAAAGAGCCTGTCTTTTGCGATCTAGAGCTTCGCATTCGCACAGTATGTCTTTGGCCGTTTCTGGTTTCTTATGACATAGTCAACACATGAGTTCCCCATTGTACATGCCAGTACCCTGTTATCACTTTCAACTGGTTCCTATTCATAAAGAGTAGTTCTCCAGTTCTTTTGGGACATGGTCTGTCTATGAAGGCCTTTCCATGTGGCTGTTTTGTGGTGATTTCCCAAAAGTTAATATCTTGTTCCCGAATCCAGTCGTTTAAGAAACCCCAAACTGTACTGTTTGGTACTCCTGGGTTTGTGCCTGGTTCCAGTGTTTCTTTTGACCCTCTTTTTGCAAGTTAGTCAGCCTTTTCGTTGCCTTCGATCACTTGGTGACCTGGCACCCAAAATAGTTTTACTCAATTTCGGTCTGCCAGTGTTCTTAGTTCTTCGATGCATTCCCATAACAGCCTCGACGTAAGTTTCTAACTCGATATGGCCTTAAGTGCCGCTTGGCTGTCTGACATTATTTGAATATGCTGATTTTCGACAGCTCT